CTGGCTTGTTAAACCATGCGTAAATTCCGGTGCGATGTTCCAGCAAAATGTGCCTTAGGCTAGTAGCAAGGCTGCTCCTTCTAGCCGTGCTTGGCGCTGCCGCAAAATGTGCCAAGCACAAGTTACGAGCACTTTTGCAATTTACGAGCATTTTCGCGGCTGCTCCTAGCCTGTGCTTGGCGCTGCCGCGAAATGCGCCAAACATAAGCTACCAGCACTTTCGCGGCTGCTCCTAGCCCGTGCTTGGCGCTGCCGCAAAATGCGCCAAGCATAGGCTACGAGCGCTTTCGCGGCTGCTCCTAGCCCGTGCTTGGCGCTACCGCGGATTGCGCCAACCATAGGCTACGCGCACTTTCGCAGCTGCTCCCAGCCCGTGCTTGGCGCTGCCGTGAAATGCGCCAAGCATAGGCTACGAGCACTTTCGCAGCTGCTCCTAGCCCGTGCTTGGCGCTGCCGCAGATTGCGCAAAACGTGGGCTGCATTTGTGTAGTTCTGTTGGGACGAACACATGGATTTTGTTTAGGGATGTAATGCATTAAGCTAAATGTGAGTGTATTCCTTTGTGTTCTTTTACAGTGTGTTTCTGAAGAATGAAAGTGAGATCAACATTGTCAAGGGGCAGCTCTTTCCCAGTGTCGAGGAGGCACGAAGGCAAGTTCGGAAATACGGTCGCCAGCAAAGGTTTGAGCCACACTTTCATCGCAACAGGGCTGATTGGATTGATATGTGCTGTCGGTCAATGAAGGGCATTCAATGGCCTGTTGATGGGGCGACACCACCAGAAAAGTCTTGCCCTTTCGGGGGCCTAGGAGGGGTAAAATGGAAGTTAGGGAGCTAGAATTGGACCATGCAGATATGTGTGTCATTTGCCCTGCGAGGATCACCTTTGAGGAGGTGAAGGACATTGCACGCGTGTTTGTTACGCACGGCACCATAAAACCCATGGACCTGAAAGACAAGGTCAGAGAGGTGCTTGGTGTGTCGTGTTCGTACAACACCGCACACCGTGCACTCCAGCAGTTGGCTGAAGAAGACGTACTAAGGGGGGGTGTGGGGTTCCAGTATCTTGAGAGTCTGCTGGGTAAATTTAAAGAGCTAAACCCCTCTTCTCATGTCTCCATGGTGAAGGAGGAGAACCGATTCTTTCGCGCTGGTATGATTTTTACTGGAGCGCATGACGCAGTCCTGAACTATCTCCCCATAGTTTTTGCAGACGGCTGCCATAACAAGACGAAGTGGCGTGGCCAAACTCTGAACTTGTGCACACTAGACAGTCAGCACAACATACTCAACTTGGGGATGGCTTGGGTGGAGGGAGAGACCAAAGAAGCATGTAGCTTCATTTTTAAGCTGCTGCTAGAGGTTGTGCTAGAGGTGAACTCACCAGAGTTTGTTGTCATGCATGATCGTGGCAAGGGATGGGCTGCAGCTGCAAAGGAGGCTCTCCCGCTTATGAGAGAAGCGATTTGCATCACACATCTGATTCGAAACTTCACCGCGAAGTTTGGTTCAGATTTGGGTGGGAAAATCGAGGCGGCAACGAGTGCCTTGACAGCAGAGGTATTTTCGCAGCTGAAGGCAAAAATCGAGAAGGAGTGCCCTGGCGGAGTCGCCTACCTGATAAAGGACGGGTTGTCCAGGAAATGGGCAACCACAGAGTTCGGGGCGGCGCGTTATGGCTGCTACTCTTCCAACCCTGTCGAGTCAAGCCATGCGACACTCAAGGGCTTGCGGAGGAAGAGCCCATCCCAGGTGCGGCTAGCTGTAATTGGGAGGGAGGCGGTCTCAACATTCAAGCGGCACAGTATTTATTTGGACATGAGCGAGGAGCAGCTGCCCGACAAGATTAATCGCATTGTTCGGGAAAACGCCAAGTGTGGGATGTCATACACAGCTGAGAAGGCTGGAGAGAAGATTGTGGAGCACCCTGATGAGAGGAAGACTACCCAGCAGACCTTCAAGGTGACGCGGAGGACCAAGAGGGAGACATGCAGGGTGACGACGGATGTCAACAATCCAGCGCACGGTACGTGTTCTTGTGGCTACCCAAGGTAAGTTGTGGGCTTTTGCATGTTTGTGTTCTCTAATAATGAAACAAGGATCCGAATCTGCCACTAAGACACCACACGCCTGTTTGGTCCATCCCTCTATAATTGCTATCCCTGTGCAGCGAATATGGGTTGCCATGTGTCCACATATTCGCAGTTTACAGGGACGCATCAGAGAAGGCCCATAGGGTTATCACGAGGTACTAAAAGGCAGGGGCACTGAAAAAGGTGTACGCCACACCGGTTGTGCCCCTTGACCCCACCGAGGTGACCCCCGATGGCACAACCCTTCCGCCATTGTATCCTAAGAAGGCCGGACGGCCGCGAGTGAAGCGCCTCCGAAGTTCTGGAGAGGTTGATGGGGAGAAGATGAGGAAGTGTGGGAAATGTGGAGAGAAGGTGCACAACATCCGTACCTGTGATTTAAGGGCAGCATAGAGAGCAGCATGGGAGGAGAAACAGACGCCCCAAGGCCACGTGCAGATGCAAACCTCCACGATTGCCAGCAGTGAGGTACGCGTTTCAAAGTGTACTGCATGTAGGGGACTGCATCGTGAAGGGATTAGATGCGAGGTCATATGGAGGAGAGAAAAGGAGGCTAGGAGATGCAATGATAGGGATCAGCAAGGTCTTGGTGTGGACCATGGGAATGACGGAGATGAATGTGATAGTGAGGATTAAAACAGCTCAGATGACTCCGACGATGACTGGGTCGATGAGGGGAGAGGGGGACTGCACCAGGGGGGGGGGCAAGAGCATGACCTACCACAGCAAGGCAGGGATGAGGGGCAGCAGCGGCAGGTGGGGCAAGGGCACGGACGAGGGCAGGGTAGGGGGCAGGGATGGGGGCAGGGACGGGGACAGGGACGGGGGCAGAGTAGGGGGCAGGGACGAGGGCAGGCTCGGGGGCAGGCTCGGGGACAGTATCGGGGACAGAATCGGGGCCAGGAACGGGGGCAGGATTGCGGGCACGGACGGCAGCAGAGCGTGGGGCATGGTCGGGGGCAGGGACAGGAGGGATGGCTGCCTCAACAGCCGGGAGGGGGCCTTGAGCAGGGGCAGGTGCCATACGGGATGCAGGGACAAGGGCAGCCGCAGCAGGAGCAGGTACCAGGGCAGCAGCAGTGGCAGCAGGGGCCATGGCAGCAGCAGCAGCAACAGGGACCAGGGCAGCAGCAGCAGCAGCAACAGCAGCAGCAACAGGGACCAGGGCAGCAGTAGCGGCAGCAGGGACCATGGCAGCAGCAGCAGCAACAGGGACCAGGGCAGCAGCAGCAGCAGCAACAGGGACCAGGGCAGCAGCAGGGACCAGGGCAGCAGAATCGAGGGCAGCAGGGACATGGGGGACCAGGGCAGAAGGGACATGGGGGACCAGGGCAGCAGAATCCAGGGCAGAAGGGACATGGGGGACCAGGGCAGCAGAATCCAGGGCAGCAGGGACATGGGGGACCAGGGCAGCAGAATCCAGGGCAGCAGGGACATGGGGGACCAGGGCAGCAGCGGGGCCGGCAACCAGGGCAGCGGCGGCAGCAGCAGCACAAGCAGCAGGGGAGGCAGGGGGGAGAGCAGGCACAGCACCAGCAGCAGCGGGGGCAGAGCATGGGGGAGCAGGAGCAGCAACATGATCAAGAGCCATTGACTCATCCGACCCAACAACCTGTTGGTGACTCCATAAATGCAGATGCGGGTTGGAACCCATGTGTCCCTATAACTACCGAGGATGTGGTTCGACATCGTCTGCGCAGACTGTCTCGTATCAATCTGCAACGTCAAATCCCAGAATTGGAAGAGGCTGATGGAGAAAGGTCGCTGAATGGGCCAACTCATAGAAATCCACTGCAGGCGACACATCAGCAAGGGCAACAGCAACAGCAGCAGGGGCAGCCAGGGCAGCGCCAAGGTCAAGTGCGGCAGCGGCAAAGACTGCCGTAGGGGCAGCTTCAAGGCCAGGGGAAGCAGCAGGGCCAAGGGCAGCAGCAGGGGCAGCTTCAAGGCCAGGGGCAGCAGCAGGGGCAGCTTCAGGGCCAGGGGCATGGACAGCAGCAGGGAAGCACACAGCAATCCCTGGTTGGAGGGGTGGATCAGGTATATCGCGGGGTTGTTCCCCATGAGCAGGGGATGTTGTGGCAGTATCCCTGGCAGATGCCAGCACATTTTGGCTTGATGTATCAGCCCACGGGCGACCAAAGTCCATATGTCACCAGTCAGCAACATGTGGGTCTGGGTGGTGGGGTTTCTTCAGGGATAGCTGCAACGAATAGCATCCCCACATCCAACTTGTCATCTCAGCAGCCCCAACAGCAGGGGCAGCAGCACAATTAACTTTCCCTCATTGCAATAGCAGCAGCACGGCAGTGTGTAAGGGCATCAGCACTCACCTCTGGCACAGGGGGATGGAGAAGAGCAACAGGCCCCGAAGGAATGGAGCGGGTTGTACCCAGGGAAGGCAGGAACCTAAACGGGCAGTGGAGGTGGGGGAGAAGGGGGGGGGAGGGAGATTGGGATGATGAATGACAAGAATTGACATGGTGGGGGGGCTTGTATCATATGAAATGTCCTATGATGGAGACATTCGTTAGTAAGAAAACGCTGTGTAAACAAAAGACGAACCAAGAACAAAGAGTATCACTATGAAACTGCAATTGGCTGGAGGATTTTGAACGCTTGTCCCCCCTCCTGCTACTTCAGCAGGAGAAGCTGAAAGGATGGTCCATGCCACTCCCTACGACTGAATGCCATGTAGAATAAAGCCATGCCATGCCATTACACACCATGCCACTGCAAACATGCCGTTTGGAATCCCATGTAGAATGCATATCATGCTAGACATACATACAGGACATGAGATGCATGCCAGTGCCATCCACGTGTGCAATCCCATCATGTCAGCAATGCGCAAGTTATCAAGCATGGCGTCATGAGCCTCGATTACCCTGGTGCTGCTCCCTGCAGGTACTGCTGTTCCTTGCTGCTGTTCCACGCTGCAAGAGCCCATCCATGCTGCTGCTGCTGCTGATGATGATGATGATGATGATGATGATGATGATGATGATGATGATGATGATGATGATGATGATGATGATGATGATGATGATGATGATGATGATGATGATGATGATGATGATGATGATGATGATGATGATGATGATGATGATGATGATGATGATGATGATGATGATGATGATGATGATGATGATGCTCCCTGCAGGTGCTGCTGTTCCTCGCTGCTGTTCCGTGCTGCTGCTGCTCCTCCCAGCTGCTGCTACTGCTGCTGATTCTTCTCCCTGCTACTACTTCTGCTGCTGCTCCCTGCTGCTGCTGCTGCTGCTTCTGCTGCTGCTCCCTGCTGCTGCTTCTGCTGCTGCTTCCTGCTGCTAATTCTGCCACTGCTCCCTGCTGCAGCTTCTGCTGATGCTCCCTGCCGCTGCTTCTGCTGCTGCTCCCTTCTACTGCTTCTGCTGCTGCTCCCTTCTGCTGCTTCTGCTGCTGCTCCCTGCTGCTGCTTCTGCTGCTGCTCCCTGCTGCTGCTTCTGCTGCTGCTCCCTGCTGATGCTTCTGCTGCTGCTCCCTGCTTCTGCTTCTGCTGCTGCTCCCTGCTGCTGCTGTTGCTGCTGCTGCTGCTGCTGCTTGCTGCTCCTCCTGCTGCTGGTCGTGCTGCTGCTGTTCCTCCTCCTACCTGCTGCGGCTGCTGCTGCTGCTCGTGCTTAGTGCCCCTGGTGCTATCTATTTGGCTACCTGCTGCAACTGAAACTGCTGACTCTCAATGCAGTTGCTGCCCTAATCTCTTCGGCTCTTACCGGTAATGGAGCTGCTCGTGCCATCCCTGCTGCTCATACGGCTTGATGCAGCAGCTGCAGGTAATGCTGTTCCCTAGTCTGCCCCTAATGCTGGAGCTGTTGAAAACACCCATTGTATTAGTAGTTATTTTCAGATAATTCTGTGAGTACATTTATTCACGGGGAAATTCTGTCATGGAGGCGACGCCACTAACATGTAGTTTCCACGCTTGTGATTACTATAATGCAGCAGGCATTGTGCAGTGTTTTTACTGTTCCAGTGTTCTCTTTCATGTTCATGTTGAACGATTACATGAGGAATACTGTGACATGGGAAGTGTGTGTCATGGAAGCGACGGAACTAATGTCTAGTTTCCATGCTTATCATACAAATAATCTGTCAGGCTTTGTCCAGTGTTTTCTACTGTTCATGTGTTCCCTTTCATGATGAGCATGTTGAGCGATTATTGTAGCAATGCCTTGATACGATGGTAATATTCTGTTAGTAGCAATGCGATTATTATAGGGTCACCTCTTAGAGGGTACAACCCTTAGATATATTTCCTTGTACACAGGTTCTCTAATTATCATTCAGTTCTAAGATGGTATCAGCAGTAGGTAGGTCCCGCCCCCGCCCACGCTTCCGCTCTCGGACCTAGCCGTGCCCTAGCCGCCCATCCTAGCCGCCCCACCTAGCCGCGCCCGCGCGCCCATCCTAGCTGCGCCCGCGCACCCGTCCTAGCCGGCCCCGTGCCCCCCCTAGCGGGCCCTCGCGCCTGTCCTACCGCCCCCCTCCGTGCCCGTCCTAACGGCCCCCGCGCCCGTCCTAGCTGGCCCCGTGTGTTCAAATTATATAAGTTATAATTTAATATAGGCTTGGTAGGTTGTTACTGAACCTTTCTGTAGGGGGTACAAACCCCTCCTTGTACTCCCCTCTCTTCTAATCCAACATCTTTTCTCTCCTCAACTTTCCTAGCACCTAAAACCTCTCGCCATTCTCATGGCTCCTCCTAGCTCCTAGCTAAACCTTGTGCCATTCTATGGCTTCCTAGCTAAGCTAGTTTCTGACATGGTATCAGAGCAGTTCGTTCCGCGTGGGCCTGCTCCTCGCGTTTCCGCTGCGTGCTCGTTTCTCTCTCTATCTCGCGCTGCCATGGCGGCCGCGTCAAGCTGCTGTGGCCGCGTCGTCGTGCCGCGGCGCCGCCGTCGACGTCCATGGCGCCCGCGTCCAGCTGCTGTGGCCGCGCCGTCGTGCCGCAGCTCCGCCGTCGCGTCAAGATGCTGTCGCGACGTGACGGCGCCGTCACGCTGCCGCGGCGTCTACGCGACAGCGCGCGGTCGGCGTAACGGCGACGTCGTGTTGCCGTCGCAACGTCGACGCCCCGCTGCGGCATCGACGCCGCTCCATGACGGCGTCGTCGGGCTGCAGCCGGCCGCGTGACGCTTGTGGCGCCGCTAGACCGGCCGCCCGCATGTCAGCCTGTGGCGCCCCCCCCCCCCCACCCCCCTCCTTCCCTTGTGCCCTCTTCCATTCCGCAGACGACGGCTGACTCCCGCCGGCCGTCCCACCGTCGCGGGGCCTGGCCACGTCGCCGAGAGGTGCGGGTGCCGCCGCCGCTGCCGCTGTTGTCGAAGCCGCCGCCGCCGCCGCTGTCGCCGCTTGCGTCGGGGCCACGCAGCCGCACGCCGCCGCCGCTGCCGCTGTCGACACTGCCGCCGCTGCTGCCGTCGCCGCCGCAGCCCCTGCGGTCGACGTCGCCGCCTCACGCGCCGTGGGGTCGACCGCCCTAGAGTCGCTGTCACTGTGGCTGGAATGGGGGTGCTAGGTTAGGGGGTGTGGGTGTGTGTGGGCATGTGACTACCAAGCCTAGGGGGTGTGTTCAAATTATATAAGTTATAATTTAATATAGGCTTGGTAGGTTGTTACTGAACCTTTCTGTAGGGGGTACAAACCCCTCCTTGTACTCCCCTCTCTTCTAATCCAACATCTTTTCTCTCCTCAACTTTCCTAGCACCTAAAACCTCTCGCCATTCTCATGGCTCCTCCTAGCTCCTAGCTAAACCTTGTGCCATTCTATGGCTTCCTAGCTAAGCTAGTTTCTGACACCGTGCCCGTCCTAGCGGCCCCTGCGCCCGTCCTAGCTGGCCCCGCGCCCGACAACTACACAATTATGAACTTTAATATGAAATGCAAATTTAGATGTCATACAAACTGTATTATTGTTACGATTCCACACATTGGAAATCTACAGACTACGCAACCCCTCCGACGCTTGGGCGTCGAGCCTTGTTTGTAAATGTAAACAAGGAAATATTCTGCCCCAAACTACTGATTGACGAATAGGAACGCAGGGTTGGACCAGAAACCCACCCGTCTTCCCTTAATTGGGCAGTATAATTACCTCGGCCCGTGCTGAGGTGCGCTCGTGCTGAGCAGCCCGCAGCCCAACCAAATAGGAAATACCTTGAATATTAGTCCGAGTAATTGCCCTGGTCTAGGCATTGGCACATGCTGATAGAAAGTTGAGAGAATAATTCGTCATGCACCTTTCATTATCTATGACTTCATGCACAGTTGTCTCACCACGCCTCCATACAAAAAACGTCACAGAAATAGCTCCTTGAAATCTCATTTCGATCATGATGCCTAACACAGCATGAAGTGTCAAACATGTTTAGTTATCATGCTTGTATAGACTGTATAGGGTCATCTTCTAGAGAGTACAACAGTTAGGTATATGTTTGTGTACTCTCTCTCTCTATTCATTAATTTTACTGTTTGATATGGTATCACGCGTAGGTAGGATCCCCCCCCCCCCCTCACGCTTCCGCTCGCCCCCTAGCTGGGCCCCGTCGTGCTCCTAGCCCCGTCGCGACCCTCCCTCGCCCCGTCCCGACCCTCCCTAGCCCCGTCGCGCCCCTTCCTGGGCCCCGTTGCGCCCCTTTCTGGGCCCCGTAGCGCCCCTCCAGGGCCCCGTCGCGCTCCTCCCAGGCCTCGTAGCGCCCCTCCTGGGCCCCATTGCGCTCCTCCCAGGCCCCGTCGCGCCCCTTCCAGGGCCTCGTAGCGCCCCTCCAGGCCCCGTCGCGCCCCTTCCAGGGCTTCGTAGCGCCCCTCCAGGCCCCGTCGCGCCCCTTCCAGGGCCTGGTAGCGCCCCTCCAGTGTGAGAGTACGACCCCGTTACACCACTTGTCCTATTCTTATCTCCTTCCTCTTTTCATTTCTCTTTTTACCGCATCTCATTTGGTTTCCTATTCTCCATTTTCCATTATCCTTTGGTCTCTTCCTTTATTATAATTATATCACCGATCAGGCATGGAATGTTCTAGACACGCTATCTAGCGTAATCCTGTCGTAATCTCTTAAAACCAATAGCCTCGCGTGGCTATACGCAGGGTGATGCTATCTTCTAGAAGGGTCTATTCCCTTAGGATAAGATAAACCTGGTTACCTGATGTACTCTGGAAGTATAAAAGCGCCTTGTACTGATCGATAGTGCAACCTTTCCTCGACACATTCGATCCTGTGACACTTGGTAATCAGAGCTTTTCTCACTCGACCGCGCTCAGCTAAGCAGCAGCAGCGGGGATCCTGCCTCGAAAAACCGCCGGGGGCGACCAATTCGACGCCGATTCTGGTAAGCACCAGCTCCGCGATTTTCGAATTACCCCCTCCGTGCGTGTTTTGAACAGGATGGCAACCTTCGACAACGCCGAGGTTACCCAGCAGCTCTTCGCGCGCATCGCAGCCCTTCAGGAGGAAATGCGAGCGGATCGCGAAGCGTGGCGAAACGAGTTCGAGCGAGTAACTCGACTCGCCGGAGCGCAGCACGAGACGACAACGGCGACGACGCAGCAGTCGCAGCAATTTCTCGAGGCTCCGAAACCGCGCCCACCTGAGCCGTTCGATCCGAGCGATCGAAACTCCGACGCCCGCAGATGGATCGCCGGGATGGAGATCTACTTCGCAGCCGTCGGATGGAGCTCGCCAGTCTGGGACGGTCAACGTGTACGACTCGCGGCGACACTGATGCGAGGGCCGGCACTCGAGTGGATTGGCGGCAACAGCACCTTCATCCACGGTGAAGCCACGTGGCAGCAGTTCCGCGCCGACCTGCTGAAACGATTCGAGCCGATAAATTCAGGTTTCCTTGCCCGCGAAAAAATTCATCGCCATCGACAGTTCGGGAGTGTAGCACAGTACACGCAGCAGATGGAAGAATTTTATAACAGAATTCCCGACCTGACCGAAGGGGAAAAAGTGCAATCGTACCTCGCAGGGCTGAAGACTGAAGTCAAACGACAGGTGGCAGCGTCAAACTACGCGAGCTACAGTGACGTCGTTTCGGCCGCGGAACGCTTCGACATGGTCAACGCCGGAACACGACGGACGCACGTCGGCAGTACGCGACAGGGCGACCGCTCGGCTCACCCCACGTTCGCCGACCCGATGGAAGTCGACAGATTCGAGGGGCGGCCACGTCCGAAAAACACCAACTACACGTGTGATTTTTGCGGGGTGCCGGGCCACCGAATCTTCGACTGCAACAAAATGAAGGCCGCACGCGCAGAGTATCGGGCACGCAACAGTGGCGGAAATCTTCCGGCCAATCAGAAGACAAAAAACGGGAGTCGCCAGTGATTGCGGATCTAGCTGGCGAAAATAAAAAGATCCGGAAACGGCCGCGGGATTCCGAGAAAATCAACTTCGACGAAGCTGATTCGACGCGAGCAGGAGGAAATGATGGGGGAAAATCTCCACCCCACGACCAGTCTTCGCCAGGGAAATTCGCCGAGGAAAAATCAGACTCCGCGAAAAAAGACTCTGCCGAGACGGGGAAACTCCTTGAAGACCCAAGAAATTATAAGACTTCGTTAAAGCTATCCTATAAAGATGCTTTAATGAAAACTTATGATTTTCGAGGAGCTAGAGCCTTGGAGAAATTTCGGGAGGGACTCCAAAAGAAGCAGACAACTGTGGAGATTATACCGGTACCGGACAACTTGGGGACCAAATTAAGGAGTGTGGAAAGAAGCCGACCTTTCCACGGAGTCAACGTCCTCTCCCGACACCAGCCCACAACGACTACCCGCTCCCCAGGGAAGACGTCGGTGGAGCTGAAGCAGCTCAAGAGGAAGCTGGGGGTCTACAAGAAGCTGCACAAACCCCGAACTCTTTCTACGGATGCATCCAGTTCTTCGGCATCAACGACACGCACAGTCGTCAAGGAAACTCCGGGCCCTGGAGAAGAGCCGTTCTCCAAGCAGCCTCGGCCAGCTGCCAGCTCAGGAGTAGACAGCAGCACCAAGGTGTGTACGGAATATTGGGATGTACCCTATGACCCAATCAATGAAACTATCTTTGGGTACTCCGAGCAACGACTGCCCCTCGTGCTCGAGGTCATCTGCAAAGGACGACGCCTCCAAGCACTCGTGGACAGCGGAGCGTCACACACCGTCTGCGACAAGGCAATGATCGACCGACTTCGGGAAGAGTACAAGCCTTCAAAATTCTCTGCAACGATGGTGGATGGCAGCAAGTTACCAGTACACGGCGAAGCAGTGCTACATCTACAAATCGGACCACTGCACTGGAGACCTGCACTCCCCATCACCAACATCAAAGGGCTTGACTTGATCTTCGGGCGAGACTTCCTGAAAAGATTCAACCCCGAGATCAACTGGGTGAACCGCACCGCAAGCATCTACAACAATGGACGGAGAGTACAGCTACCCAACTGGGACGATACTGGAGATATCCCAGTGGAGACACTCGCACGATTCGAGAAGGATGTGAAGCGGACCGACACCGGGTTCCTGGCGATAGCAACAGAGGTGGAGAATGACGGAGAGAAAGCCTCGGAAACTCCAGAAAAAATCAAGGAATTACTGAAGGAGTTCCAAGACATTCTTCCTGACGATCTTCCGAACGAGCTACCGCCATACCGAACGCATCAACACGAGATCGTGGAGGAACCGGGTTCGAAGCCGACCTTCCGAGCACCATACTGGCTCAGCCCTACGGAGCTGACCGACATGAAGAAGCAGATCGAGTATCTCCTAGCTAAAGGACTCATCCGACCATCTACTTCGCCATACGGTGCCCCAGTACTCTTCACACCGAAACCGGACGGAAGCCTGCGCATGTGCATCGACTACCGAGCTCTTAACAAGCAGACCATCAAGAATAAATATCCGATACCGCGAATCGATGACCTGCTTGACCAGCTTCGGGGAGCTACGGTATTTTCCAAACTGGATCTGCGGTCCGGATACTGGCAGATACGGATGGCGGACAACTCTATCCACAAAACTGCTTTCCGAACTCGGTACGGATCGTACGAGTATTTGGTCATGCCGTTCGGACTCACCAACGCGCTGGCAACGTTCCAAGCCGAAATGAACCACATTCTACGACCACTTCTGGACGAATGCGTGGTGGTGTACCTGGACGACATACTCATCTACTCGCGCGACATGAAGCAGCACGTCGAACACCTGCGACGCGTCTTCGAAATTCTTCGACGGGAACGATTCTACGTCAAACTGTCCAAGAGCGAATTCGCCCTTGAAAAGGTCCAATTCCTAGGACACATGGTGAGCGCTCAAGGAGTTCACGTCGACCCCAAGAAAATCGAAGCCGTACGCTCGTGGAAGACACCCGAGAACGTGAAGGAGTTGCAGCAGTTCCTAGGCTTCGCTAATTACTACAACAGGTTCGTGCCACAGTATGCGAAACTCGCAGCACCACTCACGAATCTGCTGAAGAAGAACACGCCCTACAAATGGGAGACGAAGCACCAGGAAGCCGTGGAGCAGCTGAAACAAGCACTGACATCCGCACCGGTGCTTATCTTGCCAGATCCCGAACGTGACTACGTCATCGAAGCAGACGCCAGTGATCAGGCTGTGGGAGCAGTCTTAATGCAAGACCAGGGGAATGGACTGCAACCAATTGCCTACCTCAGCAAGAAACTGCACGGGGCAGAACTCAACTACCCGATACACGACAAAGAGGCTCTTGCTATCATCATCGCCTTCAAAGCATGGAGATGTTATCTCGAAGGACGCAGAACAACCGTCTACACCGACCACTGCAGCCTGAAATATTTGAAGACACAACCCAACCTTTCCAGGCGGCAGGTCCGGTGGATCGACTTCCTCGAGACACACTTCCACTACGACATCGTGTACAAGCCTGGCCACAAGAACAAGGCAGACGCCCTCAGCCGGCCTGCACACGTTGCCGCCATTCAGGTCGAAGGGATGAATCCACTACTCAAGGGACTCTTCACACACGGGTACGCCATCGACCCCGAAATTCCCTTGGCAGAAAAGCGACATCTGCTACAGTGGGACAGTGACATCGCGTACCGGAAGGGATCCACAAAAATCTGGGTACCCAATTACCCTCCTTTGTGCCAGTTACTACTCGAAGAATACCACGACGTCCTGTACGCCGGACACTTCGGTAGCAACAAGACGCTCACCGGTATCGCCAAACACTACTACTGGCCCCATATGGCAGACGACGTCCAGAAATTCGTCACCTCGTGTGATACATGTCAGCGGATGAAGAGCAGCAAGCAGAAAAAGGCGGGACTACTGCAGCCTCTTCCTGTCCCAGAACAACCATGGCAAGTGGTTAGCCTAGATTTCATCACCGGGTTACCACCTACCTCCAGCGGTCATGACGCCATCCTTGTCGTCATTGACAAGTTCTCCAAAATGGGACACTTCATCCCGACACACACGACGGCACGCACCGAGGA